GAGCACCAAGGCCGCTCCGCCGCTGGCCCCGCTGACAGCGAATAGGTCACCTTGGCGTTGAGCCCCACGTCGGCATCTGCAGCGCTCACGGCTCCAACCAGCACGCTGGGGACATTGTTCTCACGCACGTACATGGTGTACGAGGTCTGGTTGAAGACGGGCGCGTTGTCGTTGACGTCCGAGATGGCCACGGTGAAGGTGTGGCTGCTCGTCAGAGGAGGGGAGCCCGCGTCTGCTGCTGTCACCGTCAGGATGTACTGAGCCGTCTCCTCGTGGTCCAGGGCACTGACGGTCACCAGCTCATAGTAATTCTTATAGGCTGGGCGCAGGGAGAAGACGAGCTGATCGTCGAGGGCACAGGAGACCTTGCCGTTGGCCCCGGCATCGCGGTCCCTGACGGTGAAGAGGGCAACGACCGTGCCGGGCGCTGAGTTCTCGGGGAGGGGACTGCTGAAGGAACTGACCACCAGCTCCGGGGCATTGTCATTCACATCCAACACCTGCACTAACACCTTGCAGATTGCTGAAAGGCCCCCACCATCTCTGGCTCTCACACTGAGTTCATGAGTCTCTGCTGCCTCGAAGTCCAGAGGCTTTGTGAGTTTAATTTCACCCGTTATGGGATCAATCTCAAAGGCTGAGTCACTCTGGCCAACCGCTTGGCTGAACTGATAGGAGATGTCTCCATTAACTCCAGCATCCTGATCAGTTGCCAGCACAGTCAGGACCACAGAGCCCTCCGGTGCATTTTCCAAAACCTGCACAGTGTAACGATCCTGTGTGAAGACTGGAGCGTTGTCATTGACATCTAGAACTACAATGTGAATTTGTGTGGTCCCACTCCTTGGTGGAGAGCCTCCATCCACAGCAATGAGGCTGAAATCCATCTCTGCCTGCTCCTCTCTGTCTAGAGACTTTTCCAAAACAAGTTCAACATATTTGTCGCCATTACTCCGACTCCCATAAGAGACGCTAAAGTACTCGTTCTCGGGAGAGATGCTGTATTTCTGAATGCTGTTGCTGCCAATATCAAGGTCCCGAGCAACCTCCAGAGGGAAACGAGAGCCTGGGTCGCCCCTTTCGGGGATGTCAAAAGTGACTCTTTCCTCGGGAAAAACGGGTGAATGGTCATTGATGTCGTGCAGGGCCACCTCGACCCGAAAGAACTGCAGCGGGTCGGCCAGCAGCAGCTCGAAGGCGAGCGTGCAGGTGTCGGACTGGGCGCACAGCTGCTCCCGGTCGAGCCTGTCGGCCACGACGAGGCGGCCGCTGGCGCGGTCGAGGCGAAAGTGCTGCCGGCCGTCCTCGGCCAGCAGGCGGGCGGGGGGGGGGGGGGAGCCGAGAGCTGCGCCGGCGGCAGCGCCGCGTCCTGCGCCAGGTTGCCTAC